GAACATTTTGTAGATATTAGTGATAATTATGAATAGGAATTCAATACAGATGCTTGATGCAAATAAGATGCATAAAATAAACATTGGTGAAGAAACTAGCATACAGTGCACTCTGGTATCTATTTTTGTTAATATTTTTGTTAATTCTAGTAACCAAATATAACAGAGATATTTATAAAAAGGAATTTAATACAGATGTTTTTGTTGCATATAAGGTGCATAAAGTAAACACTGGTTCCAGAATGAATGTAAAGTGTAAACTATTTTTTCTTAATTCTGGTAACCAATGATAATTGTTTTTCTTTTACCTCAAGAATTTTTTTTCAAGAAATAGAATGGTATATAATAGATTTACATTTGTACAATAAATAAAAGCAAGAATAATTTTTTAAGCTTTCGAGGACTGAGATAAAAAGCCATCTCCTTCAGCAACAAAAATTTTAATGATGTTTCTTTTACCATCTCTCTGTTACCTTTGTTAATATGGCAACAAGTAAAGAACTTCCATCTTGAAAGTTTGGTCTGTTTGTTTCTTAGTACAATTACCATAACAAGATCGAACCTCCATATTTCTTTCTTGGTATAGGTATGTAAAGGAACAAATTTTTATGTTGATCTCTGTTTTGTTGCTGTTTATCACTGTAAGAAACAGTTAGACATGTGTATGATTAATTAGATATATGGAGACATGCTCATGTTTAAATAGCCATTATGCATGGATGGGTTCAGGCTCTGTCATGAGTTAACAATATTTAATCAAGGGCTAAATTTGTTTAAACTTACCATGATTGAGGTCAAATTCTGATCTGTATGGAAACTCATTTCTGAAGGAATTACCAGGACGACCGTACCACCATGACATTTTGTTTCTTGGTACAGGTACCATTGCAAGACCCAGCCACCATGACATTTTGTTTCTTGGTACAGGTACCATTGCAAGACCCTACCACCATGACATTTTGTTTCTTGGTACAGGCACCGTTGTAAGACCTGGTCACCAAAACATTTGTTTCTTAGCACAGGAACCATGGTAAGCCACAATATTTTATTTCTTGCTGCAGGCACCATGATAAGACCTTGTAAAGCATCCCAGTACTCCATTACTATGAATTGACTATATTACATAAGGTATCAATATTGTACATTTCGAGATTGCAACAAACTATAATTTAAAATCTAAATGGATGGTTTCATGCATTTTAGGATGTAAAGATTCATTTGTGACAAATTTGCAAAAAGTCAAAAGAAAAAGTTAATAGATGGCACAAAAGTCACACACCAAATTTGTCATTATTTCTTTTATAAATACTTCCTGTTAGAAAATTCTCTCTTGTTTTTAAACTGATGGATGAATTTCCCCTCTAAATTTTCATTTCTAGAATAAACCTTAAAACAATAGCACTATTTTACTAATCCATGAATTCAAGTACTAACATTTTTTTCCCTCCACAAAAGAAGGAAAAAAGTGTATGGTATGTTTATTTTTCAAATTAGTAGCAGCTATTCAGCATTTCCACATATTACACACTTATATAACAGTGACATTTTGAACTACTCACTATAAAGGCCACCTTGCTGTGAGTTACTGACATTTTTAAAAGAGAAATGCTATTGAAGAAAATGATTATTACAAAGTTTAAATTGGAAAGACTCTCTCTAGATTAAGAATGGTTGCTGAGAAAAAACATATATCAACATGCATTACAGCCTCAGATTTCTGCATGTGTGCCTAATTTTGCTATGGAAAATGAGAAAGCATGTGTGTGCTCATTTATGATATATGTATTTAATATTATCAATACATTTATCATTCTTAACTTCACTTTCATAGAAGATTTATCCAGTTATAAGTGCACTATATATAGTCACTCAGTGTTTAACATGTTGGACTTCCAATCAGGTTGCAGATTCAATGAGATGGATGCTATAGTGCATGTCTGGGCAAGGTAATTAACCCCAATTGCCTCAGCAGTTCTGACACTTTTCTATACTGATGTGCCATTTCTGAGCAAAGTACTTAAGGACATACCATACTAATTGTATGGAAAAATGGGAACCAGCCTGTAAATGGGTAAACATAAAATAGAGAATATATGGGTTGATATGGCCAGGATTTGTTGATAGTGAAAGTTATTTTGTAGGAAAAAAGAATCTTTTGACAGCTTGATTCCAATTAGTAATTGAAAAAATATAGACATTGTTTTCTTGATGGAATTTCAGTTCATTAATAACAGTCTTGAGCTTGGAACACTCATTACTGAAATTAGCACCTGACTCTTTGGTGTGCAATTGAAAGCACATGTTTAAGACACATGTAGTTCCAGAAAATGCTGTGGCTCCTATCCTTTTCTCTACACAAAGTTGACATCCACTGGTTTCATCTATATTGATAACAGTAGGCTTGATCATTAGCACTCAGAAATTTAAAGTTACTGAATTTTTAATATTGTGTTTGCACAGGTTTACTATTGGAACTGAATTAGTACTGTGAGGCCATAACCCCAATTGCCTCAGCAATTCTGACATTTTTTTTTTTTTACTTATATGCCATTTCTGGGCAAAGTGCTTAACTCTAATTACATCAATAGTTCAGAGTTTCTGTGCTGATGTGCCAGTCACTAATTAATCAACCAGTCAATCAATCGGTTCCATTTTATACTCACTTATGTTAAGTCCAACTGCACTGACCCATATCTTAATAAAATGGGTTGGGTTTTTTCTCAAGACACACTGTACTTGAAATAATTTAGTTTTTACTTTCATATTTTTATGGTAAATCACACTATTTTGCTTGGCATCATTGTAGCAAATTTTCAATAAGTAAAACAGAATACTGTTAGGACATACCTTTACCTTACCTAATCAACAGGTATATACTGCTGCATTTTGTTAAGAAAGATAAAGCATAATGAGAGTGTAGGAGTGCAAAATTTTGTAGAGATTTTGTAGTAAATTTTGTTGTGATCCACATGACATGTGCCTATTAAGGCTGGTGTATATGCTAGGATCACCACAATGTGGCAACTTGCAATAATTAATCTATTAGGGACACTAATTGGGTTTTAATTAGGACCTGCTTGTTAATAGTTAGAACAGACAGGAGGGTACAATATCAATGTGAGGTCATAGGGGTAAAGTGTCCAAAATAACATGCACAGGAGAAAGTTTTCAGAAATTTTGGTCCTAGTTGAAACAAGTATCATAAAATGATATTTTCCAGAATAATTTATAATAAAGGGGGACTACAAAGAATTTTTCTGATTTCTATGGAACTGATAAGATTTTAGGCAGGTAAAGTAGTAATCCTGATTGGCTAAGATAAACATGGGGATGCAATTCAAGGGTTTTAGAATAGCTACCCTCCTAGAATTAAACAGTAAGTTTCTGCCTTAAGGCAAGAAGTTCTTGAATCCAGGGAGCATAAAGTTGTTCTCCATTATAAGGAACAGGGATCTGGAAAAGGTCAGTATCAAGATAAGGACAGAGGTCAAGTGAACTAGGGCTCAGAATGGAACATAGATATTGTCTTAATTGCATGCAACATATATTCATTGATGTAAGTTTGCAATTATTGTTGAATTTATTTATTTTAAATTCATATTTCCTTGAATTCAGAAATAAATATTTCATTATGTGAATGAGTTCAGGTTTAGAGGCTTGGCATGTAAATGAAATCACGTAGCAAAATTTTATGCATTTGTGTGAATAAGTAAATTATCTGTCTTAAATGACTTGCATCATTTATGCTGAGGACTGATTTTTTTTATGTCTGAAAATCTCTGTCAAATAATTGGTAATCAGTAAAGTAAGGAGTGAAGTCCATTAATTCATGTATAATTAAATTGTGAATTCTCTTCAACCAAAAATGCAGTTAACTCGTGGCTAGTTCAACTGGTAATTTATAGCCTAGTGTGACAATGATGGTATTAAAAAGCTGGCTAATTATGTCATGGTGTTCTGAATGCAGAAGCCCCTTATAGGACATACATTTATGATAACTGGTTGTTGTGTATTAAGCACAAATTACCATTGCTTATCTGTTGAATTTGATAGATGGTTTCTGACACAAAGACAGAGTGGGAATCTTATCCCTGGAGAAGACAAATCTGGCATGCATTTAGGTTGGATGCAATATTTTAATTTTTCAAGGGAAATAAATTGCTCTACTCATACCTGACTGAAAAGTGGGAAAAGGAGCATAGTCTGCAACCCAAAGAGGCTAGTATTAAAAAGAGATGTGAGAGGAAAAGATACAGAAACATCAACTGATCACCAACAGAGATTTGGGAAGATCAGAGGCACCAGGTGTCATGCCAGCATTAAATTCTATTTGTCATGCCAGCATTAAATTCAATCTGTCATGCCAGCATTAAATTCAGTCTGTCATGCCAGAATTAAATTCAATCTGTCACATGATGAAATTTGTTCTATCTGAACAGCTAAATGAAATTCACATTATTTTGTACATATAACTCTATTTATGACGGAAAGAGAATTATTCACATCATTTGGGGGGGTATGTAATTGATGAAATAGGTGTATTTTACAGGGAAGGTTGGGCTCATTTTATTTGATTCTATAACTCTGTTCAGTTCTCTGTTATTCCATCCCTCATTCATATATACTGTTATTAATTACTTGATCTGGATAATAACACAGTGGTCAATTATCTCATAACCAAAACCCTTAAAAAGTGGTGAAGATCTCCCACACTCAATCTAACCCACCACCCCACCCCTCCGCAGTAAATTGGAAAACTAAACATAACATTTATTCCTGCTCACAGAGAAAAATGTTAATATAAAATTTTATGCAAATTATTCGAGGAATTTTTATACACTTTTCTAACTCCAGATTAGTGCCCATCTCATCAGACAATAGTGTTTATATATTATAATCATATAATTTTATCAATAATTAGTTTATAAAAAAAAGAATTGTTTTCTTGCTAAAATTCAACAATTGATTGTATTAAATGTGAATGATGACTCTCAAGGCACCGCTCTGGTGGCCTAGTAGTTAGAGCATCTGCCTCAGATGCAGGAGATCATGAGTTTGAACACCAGCCGAGTCATACCAAAGACTTTAAAAAATGATACTAATAGCTGCCTCGCTTGACACTCAGCATTAAGAGGTTAGTGTTGGGACTGGTTGGCCTGGTGTCTGGATAATGTGACTGGATGGGACATCATGCCACTATTGACTGCTGCATGATGCCCCAGAGCTAGACATCACTATAAACTGTCACACTGCAGACATCACAGTGATATGACTGAAAAATTGTTAAAAGCTACCATTAAAAATCAAAATCACACTCAAGGCATACAGGAAAATTATGTAGACATGTGAGATATTACAAGAGGATTACCTACAAGACTGACAGGAAAGCAATTATAAAGGCATACAAGATGTATCCAAGATATTGACCCAAAGACTGACAGGAAACTAATTATAAAGGCATATGATGTATCCAAGAAATTGACCCACAAGACTGACAGGAAAGTAATTATAAAGGCATACGAGATGTTTGTAAGAAATTGACCCACAGAGAAGACAGGAATGTAATCATTGTGGCCTATGGGATATTACAAATCAGACAGGAAAGTAATTATGGTGACCTATGGGATATTACAAATTAGACAGGAGAGTAATTATGGTGGCCTATGGGATATTACAAATTAGACAGGAAAGTAATTATGATGGCCTATGGGATATTACAAGGTAAACAGGAAAGTAATTATAGTGGCCTATGAGATATTACAAGGTAGACAGGAAAGTAATTATGGTGGCCTATGGGATATTACAAGGTAAACAGGAAAGTAATTATAGTGGCCTATGAGATATTACAAGGTAGACAGGAAACTAATTATAGTGGCCTATGAGATATTACAAGGTAGACAGGAAAGTAGTCATGGTGGCCTATGGGATATTACAAGTGAATAATCCACAAGGCAACTGGTTAAATGCCTATGAAAAATCAGGAGTGGATGACCACCAGGCTGACAAGAGAGTTAATATATAATATATATTGTAGTTGGATGACCTACAATGTAGACAGGAAAGTAATGATGTCAGCCTATGACATATTAAAAGAGAATGACCCACAATGTAAACAGGAAAGTAATTATTAGGCTTATGAGATATTACAATAGTATGACCACAAAGCAGATAGAAAATTAATTATGAAGGCTGATAAAATCATATGAAAACAACATTGTTGGAGTTGTTTAATTTACCTGTTGCAAATGACCATTTGATGTCAAGATTCCCCATTTCTTAAAGAACTCAAGAAGATTGGCTGAACCTTGAAGCTTTCAATGCTAAACAAGTTAACAACCAAATAAAAGTTAATTTAAAAGTTACTTCCTAATGTTAAGAACAGGTCCTAGATCCATCCAACACTAATAAATAAGTTCATGTCACATTTTATATCTTTCTCTTTATATTTATTTTGTAGTGCAATTAGAACATCCATATTATTTGGTATCATCATAAAGCTACATCTGTCTGCCTTTCTATAATACCACCCACTTTGTTGTGTCTTATATGACCTTGACGCTACAGAACTCAGAAGTAGGCTACCACCTCCTGCCCCTTATACACCGCGCCAGTGGTTAATGAGTTAAAAAAGACATATGTCTAACTTATTTTAAAACACCACACCATATCTGAATTCAGTCCTTCACAGTTTACTGAGCATATATTGAAATACAAAGTTTTTTTTAATGTCTAAGTTAAAATGTCAAAAATGGTGAAATCTAATTTGACAAAGGCATTCTTAATATAAAGTTTCATCCTAAACTTGGTACTTAGATGGACACAAATGAAAGTGTGGTTGAGGGATGAAATTGCATGGAATCATGGGTAACACTATCTGCCTCCTCCATATATGTGTGTAGGGAATAAGAGCAGCACATACCATATATACCCACACTTATGATTCCAATCGCAAACTTGTCTGACCCAGATCTGACATCACATATGTAACTGCAGATTTGGGTCTCTTCAGTTTGTTAAGAATAATCAGTAGAACAAACAATATAGACCCTCCTGATCTGCAGGTACATTATGCTACAGCAGATTAGGATCTTTGTTGCTTGCAGTTTGACTCAACTTATAAGCATGTAGATATGGTACACTGCAGTATCAAAATTTAGTCTGTGGCCCAATGAATCCCACTTCTGACACCAAACTTTCACTTTCTCAGCAACAAATGTTTCATAGCCTGTTCTGTTGTAAAAGAGGGATTATGAATCTACTTGCTACCAACACTAATTACTTAATATCTAAACAAACATACTTTAAACAAGTGACTCACTGAAAGACACACAACTTCTGTCAGCCTCTTTCCAGGGGTTCATTGAGAACTGATTTATTATGGTTTTTGGACTAGCTGCAATGTTTTAAGTGCTAATTCTTCCAGTTCATAAAGCTTCAGTGTGTTACACTCAAATAAATTGATAAAATCCTTTTGAAAGAGTGTAAAAATTAATTTATCATGGTAGGCTAACATGTGCACTACCCGAACTTGTTTTCACACTTATAAAAAGGTCTTAAACAATACTTTTTATTAAGAGCTATCAGCTTCCTCAGATTCTTGAATCCTTATTTTTGGAAAATAAAATGTTTTAAGATATTTTAGATAAATAGAGATCATTGTGATGGATGAGAATTACCTTAATGAATGAAATATGATTGGTTTTTTTTACTGGTATGTCAGGTCATGCACTGAAAGAATGCTATAGGTAACATGCAATCCGATACAACCTGACGCATGGTCAAGTAATTGGTGAATAAACCCGCAACCCCATTGGTACAACATCACCAATGAGGAGTACGCACTGGCCATCCTGGCAGAAATAAAAACAAGATTTGTCAATAAGGTCTGTGGTGGACCACCCAGCAGAGATGTGGTTTTATTACCGATTCTCTGGGCAGCCACTGCAGCAAGTGAGGTGGGGGCATGTTACTGCTAGCCCTTGCCCATCGCTAAACACCCCACTTTGCCGAGAGAGTGATATTAGTCAATGCAAAAGCTAGTTTTCAAATCCATGCATGCAGCTTCTATGACAATGGTCACAACAGATAACACACATTCCCTGCCAAAAAAGGTTCGTGTTGGTCACCTCCCACTCCAGGGATTAGTGAAAAGTCAGCTAGGATACAGAAGAAAACTAAATCTAGCTGAGTGAGATGTACGGACATTGCTAGACCGTGCTGGCAATGATAGACCTGAACACCAGACTGCTCTTGTACCAAAGGACCTAAACAGATATAACATCAACATTGCAGCTTTGAGTGGGACTCGTCTACCTGGATATGACAGCATGGTAAACTGTGGCTATACATTCTTCTGTAGTGGAAAGGATGAAGGTGATCACAGAAAAAGCGGAGTAGGTCTTGCACTGAGGAATTCCATTGCTGGCATTTTTGACCTGGACCAGATAATAAAAAAATGAGACTGCCACTGTAGAGGGGAGTATATGCTACAGTCATTAGTGTTTATGCACCAATAATGACCAACCCCAAGGAAAACAATGAGGGGTTTTACAGTTGTCTCAGAACTGTTCTTTCCAAGGTACCATCCAAAGACAAACTGATTCTAACTGAAGATTTCATTACAAGAGTTGGAAAAAATCATGATAAATGGCCTGGGGTGCTACATCTTCATGGTATTGTCAAAAGCAACTCAAATGGCTCTTTGCTCAGAAAATGGCCTTGTCATCACCAATACAGTTTTCAAGCACAAAGAACATGCCAAGGCAACCTGGATGCACCAAGGATCAAAACACTGGCATCTCCTGGAGTATATGATCACAAGACAGAAAGAACTAAAATATGTGCTTTAAGACCAGATTGATGAGAGGTGTTGATTGTTTAACTGACCATCAGATGCTAAGATCCACAATCAAATTCTCAGCAAACTGAACAATAGAATTGCCACCAAACCACCGACCAAGATAAATACAGCAAGACAGAAGGATGTCTCCTTGGTGTCAGAACTGGGGGTCAAGTAAAAAATGTGGGGGTCAAAAATACACCGACAAATTTTTATCTAATCCATACTTTTTCAGATGTAATATGATATTGCAATTTGTACAATATTTTCTCTCACTCTCTCCATTTAAAGAATACTTCTATTAGTTAATTTTCCTTTTATTTTAAAGTTGTACTTTTAAAAGTCTCTTTATAATTTTTGTAGCAATCTTATAGAACAACACATTACATATAAGCCAAAACAAAACTCCATAAATCTTTTTAACAATACGACATTTAAATTACTGCCTGTCATAAACTGTGTACTATCATCGGTTTCATTGTACTTCGTCCTAAAACACATTTATCCAAAAATCAGAGGCTGATGATTCATCTTCTCTTTTAAAAAGTTACACTTGAACTTTTAGATCTTTCTTTCGTTGCAGCAAAGTTAGAAAAATCTGCAATGACCCCCTGAATTTGTAATCCAAATAATGGATTTGTCTCTGCAAGTTTACTTATTTCTTTGGTCTGAAAGAATATTTTAGGCAATAATGTGTTCAAAAGATATTTTGTGGTGATCAATGGCAGATTTTAAAAATTCTTAAACAATGTCACAAAAGGATTATTCACTTTTTTAGGTTTTGCAATTACAAAGTCACACCGGTAATCTCAATGCCTTGGATGTGCCATATTCAAGTCAAGGGAATATTTTATCCATTTTTCATTAGTCAGATCCACATTTACTCTTTCGTGTTCTGCTTCTTTCAGTTTCTTTGCTAATGATTCTTAGTGCACGCTGCTTTCATCTCGAGATCACATTTTATTGCAACAAGAACTGAGGTTAAATGTTTGGACATCTTGCTGAATTCAATAGAATTGTGTGAGAGCTTGCAAGATCAGGGAAAGCTATTCTGTTATAAAATTGCCTAATGGTAGTCTGGTTCTCTGCTATGTATGCTCAGTATTGGTATTGCAGTGTGCAACACAACAAATGAAAGAGGAAACTGGAAGGAGTATTCACGATGCCATCCCCAATGATGTATAATCGAAGTATACATGATGCCATCTCTAATGCAATGCGTTGGATATTAAATA